TCAACTCTAAAGCATAAAATGAATTCAGGTAAAACCGTAAAAGGATAAAAAAAAAGGTTAATAAACAAGTACGTTCAAGCCACAGAGAATTTTTTTTTATAAACTTATCCCCAGTACCCCTTTATTTTTCCCTAAACTGAATTTATTCGTTATTTTTCTAGCACAAATTTTAGTACCGTCCAGTGACCCTTGTAGTGTATTTGTCTACAGTTACGCTTATACATAAACCCAATGCACTTAGATAACCGTGCTTTATTTAAAATAGTCGCACGTTTTTCAAAAGAAGTATATTTTATCTGAGATATCGCACTGTACGTTATTACCAATAAAACATGTTACTGGTGTATAACAGCTGAGGAACATCAAAGACGAATCGCTGCACCATGCGATAAAACAGTTTAAGTATGTCGAACTCGACTGTAATGTGGAATTATTGCATGGTTTGGAACTTTTACTTTGTTCTTACTAACTCATTATACTCAGTACACTTCAATGATCATTTCAAAACTGTATTGATATATAGCAGTACAGTTTTGTCATTGATTCATATAGGAAAATAACTCAACTGCTATAAAGCGTTTTTTTCGCACCTTGTATATATTAGTGTAGTTTTTTCACTGAGGCTACAATGGGGCAGCGGTAACGCACATATCCAGCAGCAAAAGAAAACTTAAAAACTAAAATAAAAATAATAAGAAAGAAAACTAATGAAATGAATTAATTCTCATATAAGTATGCAACTGCTGAAATCAAACGGTACATCCGCTGAATAAATTATTTCAACTAAAAAAGCCCTTAAAGGGACTCCACTTAGGTTTTTTGACATGATGGGACAAAAAATATTTTTTTCCAGATAAATGTACCATTTGATGTAGGTTAAGACCACTAATTTTTGTGCAAAATTTCAGATCATTTGCTACTTTGTTTTTCCAGAATTATTATTCAAATTGTAAACAAAAGGGCCATGATGGCCCTAGATCGCTCACCTGACCCATCCAACTCATCCGAAGAATTACCTAGAAAAGCATTTTGACCAAGTTTCATGACAGGTGAGTCAAAAATGTGACCACTAGAGTGTTTACAAGGAGTATCCATATTTGAGCTGTGTGACCTGGTTTTTTACCAGGTGACCCATATTCGATCTTGACCTAGAAATCATCAAAGCAAACTTTCAGACCAATTTGCAGGATACTTGGATCAAAACAGTTGCCACTACAGTGTTAACAAGATTTTTCTATCTTTAGCTCCGGTGACCTAGTTTTTCATCCGATATGACCCATGTTCGAACTCATTTGAGCAATGACCTAGGCAAGCATCCTGACCAAGTTTGATGATAATTGAGTCACAAATGTGACCACTAGAATGTTAACAAGGTTTTTCCGTATTTGGGCGGTGTGAGCTAGTTTTTCATCTGAGATGACCCATGTTCAAAATTGATCTAGAAATCATCAAAACAAATTTTCAGACCAATTTACAGGATATTTAAATCAAAACAAAAGCCACGAAAGTGTTTTTAAGATTTTTCTTTTTTTAGCTCAGGTGACCTAGTTTTTCATCCGAGATGACCTATGTTCGAAATTATCCGACAAATGACCTAGACAAGCATCCTTACCAAGTTTGTAAAAAATGTGACCACTAGGATGTTAACAAGGTTTTTCCATATTTGGGCAGTGTGACTTTATTTTGACCCCAGGTGACCCATATTCGAACTTGACCTAGAAATCATCAAAACAAACTTTCAGACCAATTTAAAGGATATTTGGATCAAAACAGTAGCCACTAGAGTGTCAACAAGATTTTTCTATATTTAACTCCTGTGACCTAGTTTTTCATCCAAGATGACCCTCGTCGAACTCATTTGAGTTATCACCTAGACAGGCATCTTGATTAAGTTTGATGATGATTGAGTCCAAAATGTTACCGGTAGAGTGATAACAAGGTTTTTCTATTTTTAGCTCATGTGACTTTGTTTTGCATCCGAGATGACCCATGTTCAATTTCATTCGAGCTATCATCTAGACAAGCATCCTGACCGAGTTTGATGATGATTGAATCAAACATGTGACCGCTAGAGTGTTAACAAGGTTTTTCTATTTTTAGCTCCGGTGACCTAGTTTTTCACCCGGGATGACCCATGTTCGAAATCCTCTGAGCCATCACCTAGACAAGCATCTTGATCAAGTTTGATGATGATTAAGGCAAAAATGTGACCGCTAGAGTGTTAAAAAGGTTTTTCTATTTTTAGCTCCTGTGACCTAGTTTTTCATCCGAGATGACCCATGTTCAAACTCATTTGAGTTATCACCTAGACAAGCATCCTGACCGAGTTTGATGATGATTGAGTAAAAAATGTGACCGCTAGAGTGTTAACAATGTTTTTTCTATTTTTAGCTACGGTGACCTTGTTTTTCATCCGGGATGACCCATGTTCAAAATCATCTAAGCTATCAACTAGATAAGCATTCTGACCAAGTTTGATGATGATTGAGGCCAAAATGTGACCGCTAGAGTGTTACAAAGGTTTTTCTATTTTTAGCTCCGGTGACCTAATTTTTCATCCGAAATGACCTATGTTCGAACTCATCCGAGCTATCAACTAGGCAAGCATCCTGACAAAGTTTGATGATGATCGAGGCAAAAATGTGACCGCTAGAGTGTTAACGAACAAGTGTTGACGGACGACGGACATTCAACGATTCTAAAAGCTCACCCTGAGCAAGCTCGGGTGAGCTAAAAAATGACTCAAAATGAAAAGCGTTTAAACGCCTTTCACGCAAATCGGGCTAAGAAAAGCATAAAAAATACGACTTTCAATTTATTTCAAAGTATATTTCTTAACTTTTTTTTGCAAATATTTCTGTTTAAAGTGCCCGAGCTCATTTATCATGTAAGAAATCCAAATGTTATGTTTTTAGGTTTTTAAACCTCAAGGGAGTCCTTTTAAATCTTGAACCCGAATAACTTTCTCCACAAACTAGCATAACATGGGATGTTCTTTTATGTTTTCAATATTATATAGGTGTTAGGTAGCTTACGATATTAAAAGCTGGTATTGGGGAGTGAGAAAGTGAAAAAAAGAAAGGGCACAAGAGAAACTCACGTTTAATGTAGATTTTTTGGAGTCTTTTTTTTTATTTCTAATACGGATTTCTATTTAAAAAATGAAAATGTGATAAAACAGTTATAGTATATAAAACTCGTTAGTTACGGATATATAACACTGGCTGGGGCGACAACTCGGGATGTTTCTTCAAAAAATTTGTCTCGGCCTGACGGCCTCGAATTTTTTTATGAGAAACACCCCTTGATGTCCCCCCAGCCAGTGTTATATCCTCGTAACTAACTCGTTTCATTAACTATAAGTATTACATATCATGGCCTTGGGCGGCATCTCGCGTTCACCCTACAGAAAATGTTCTCGGCCATACGGCCTCGATCATTTTCTGTAGAGAAAACCCCTCGATGTCGCCAAAGCCATGATATTTCCACATTACAGTCTCGAGGCTATACTATAACCATAATTGAAATTTTGAAGATTTAAACTAGAATAGTACTAACTAGACGTCTTAGTGGATTTATGTATATGTAAGTGTTCATCCGTGCTGTTATACAGAAATGAGAAAGTTCGACGGGCGCAATAGCGACAGGAAAATATTTCTAATTTCTGTAGAATAAAAAATTCTGTGTTAATTTTTATAGAAGAACAAAAGTCGATAATTTAAGAAATTCTGTTCATAGCCGCCTTCTTTTTGTCATAGTACTTCATAGAACCGCGTGTGTACAAAAGTGGTGACGTAATAAAGCAAAAATTAATGAAGCAAAATAAAGCTTGGCACTAAGTTTGTAAGTATGCATCCGTAGCTGTTCTACAGAGATTTTCGCTATCGCTCCCGTCGAACTTTCAAATTTGTGTAGAATAGCACGAATGAACACTAACATATACATAATTAATTCTAACACGACCGTATTTTCCCCACAAAGAAGTATCAAAAGTGTGTGTTTTTATGTATATTAACACGACCCGCATTTCCCCAATTGAACATAGAGGAACCGACGGTGTGTTATTATGCAGTAAAATCACAGTTTGGCATACTATATTAAGACATGTGACGTAATCATTATACACACGTCATAACCACTAAAATATGACGCCCCGAAGATAAGTATGAAAACAAATCAGGCGCAATGTAAGGTAATATCTGTTACGGCTTGTTGATGTCGTGTTAGAACCGAAATAAAATATTCTAATCGGTGATTTTATTGTTTGATAAAATCACTGTTTGTCGTTAAGATGCGCAACATTTTATATAATTCCTCGCATCCGAACTCCAAACAGTGATTTTATTGAGCGATAAAATCACTGTTTGGGATATTTATTATTTCTTAAATAAAGTCATTGTTTCACCTTCCATATTAAGACATGTGACGTAAGCATTATACACGTGACGTAAGCACTAAAAATGTGACGCGCTGAAAATAAAGAAAGGAAACAAATAAGCCGTAATTAGGCTAAATATCCGGTACGGCAGCAATTATGTGATGATATCGAGTTAGAATCGAAATAGTATATACAAATCGGTGTCGTTCGGAAGCGCATCATTATACTGCCCGAGCTATTCTCTCGTGATATAATTCCTTGCATCCGAACTCAAAACAATGATTTTATTGAGCGATAAAATCACTGATTGGGAATATATCATTCCTTAAATGACGTATTGTAAAACTGGAATGTGTAGTTGCTTACAGGTAATTATAGAGTAAGTAGATGATTACAAAATGGATTATGGTTTTTGTCCTGCTTGAAACGCAGTGACGCACATGTTTGTTTTCACAGTAGATATTTATAAGGATATTAAAATAATTATGATAGTTAATTTTCTATGGTATTTTACTACTTATGGGAACTCAATTAGTGCAAATATACAATATTACCTAACAATTTATACTGACGATGATTGTATTTGAAAATCTTAAATATTTTAAATTGAAGCTTCACTTACCATCGTTGACTGGAGGTGCTAGGGGAGATTCGACGCAATGCCCTAATTGACACATCTAAGGATAAATGCACAGAGTCAATATATTTCTGAGTGATGCAATTATTTTAATTGATAAATGATGATTACTTATTATGGCATAGTTACAATTTTAGATTAAGCAATTTAAGAAAAGAGAAGCTTGTTTAGCATGATATTATTTTAATCATTAGGTTAAATCGTACCTTGCCATTTCCACATGTGGTACCATGCCATGGAATTTTGGGCATGGCATAACCGTCTCTGCCTTGTATAGCACAAAACAATGTGCTACATATTGTTGAAAAATCACTGATGTATTTGGTCTATAATTTAAACAAGACAGAGTTTCAATCACTTTTAATGGTTCATAGATAACGTCATGTGTAGTGAAAAAAAAAGTTTATTCCTTTTTATTGTCATCATATCATTACCAATTAAGCTTAAAAAGAAATAAATTCCGTATTTACACTAATTATGGCAGTACATTAATAACCAAATTGTCATAAAAAGATATATACACCTAAGAAGTTTTAAAAGCAGTTCAGGTGGTTTTCTTTTGAGCGAAAACGCAAGTTTTCTGCAAAGGCATTGTGACGCTGACATTAAAAATAATACCAAAGCCAATAAACGGAATATGTCTGTTACTTGATTTAACGTGGTTGCCAATTATATGAAGTTAATATGCCAATGGCCGATTATTTGCTTGTTATAATTTAGAAGAAATAGCTTTTTCTTGAACCGTGCTGGACCATGACCGTTAAATATATGGGTTTGTTTTACTCATTGATTGCAATCAACATTTAAAAGCGTCTGGTAAAATAGTCATGTACTTAATTGACTTAAAACGGTTCTTGGTATAGTGTAAAATAATTATTTGACTTTGACGTTTGTTGTCATATGTCATATACTCAGTGAAAATAATCATTATATAAAATTTCAATGCTGTGAAATGGCTATCTAGTTATTGGACGAAAATACTTTATCATCCTATGCAGTTTAAAAGTTGTGGGCAAAAAAGTTGTCTCGTTTTTTGTTGTTGTTATTTTCAGCAGATATTGACTTTAAATGTTTAATGTAACCCTGACCATTGAACAGCCGAGATAAAAAGGTATTATAATAAGTATAGGGGATAGTTCATTCACAAAAGATGTTGGCTTTGTGTTTCTCTATTTCTGAACGGAAACGGCTGACATTTGACCTTGGCCTGAAAGCAGCTTTGTTTAACCTCAATATTCACAAAAACGAATTCGTTACACGTGTGAAAAATTCGCTCGAATTCCTTACACGTGTATGACAAGTTCGTACGAATTTGAAGGTGCTGTGAAATTCCCAAGCCCTATTTTGTAAACAACTAAGTGTAAACGAAATTTTCACAGAAAATACGAGACGAATCGGTAGGTATTTTTCACACATGCAAGTGAGGGTTTTTAGCTAAAATTTGAATTGTCCGGGCTATAAATCCTAAATATCATCGGAACGGCCACGACCATAAAGTAGAAGGAATTCAACCTCACGCCCCTACTCAACCTCACCCCATCCACCTTAAAGACACATGAAAAGATATTAGGAAGAAGTAATGTTATGTCGACAAGAATTATATCGTGATGCTCATGCACAGATGTTAGCAAAAAGTAGTCAAGACGCCATAATTTATTCCACAACAGGAAGTAACATGTCGCGTAAATATATGTCGTATTGCCGACATATAAACTAACAGAACCACGGCATCTATCGGGCTCGATTAAAGTTTCAGTTACTAACATACCCGGTAGAAGTCAACAAGAGCTAACACTAAAAGACGACATGTTACTCCGAAAGATGACATTACGACTACCATTATGTGTCCATATTAATGACCTTCCATGTCAGGTCATTGTAAGGTCATGGTCAATTGATAAATGTCGCGGCGTCTTCTTAAACTATATCCATCCGTTTATACGGAAGTTGTAGCCAATATTAAAGTTTGCAGACTGAAAGCCAGGGAAGGACGGATGGAGGGTGATTTTGGGAATTCAGTTTTATATGCCCTTCTTTTGAGGATATAAATGGGTTAATCTGAACAAATATTTAAGAAATGCGTCCAGATATAATAAAACAAGGGAAAACGTTAAATTTCTATCAACCGACGAATGCTAGTTATAATTAACAACAACAACCACAGTTCCAAAAACGTTTCCTTAAAATCCAGTCAGCAGTTGCCGAGAAGTAGCGCAAAAGTATACAGAACCAAAATAATTCAGGGGTCATAACTCTTATGTTAAAGGGTCCGACAATATCACCTCCCATTTTAACCGGCGGAGGATAATGATATGACATACTTTAAAGTTTTCATATCTTCAAGATTCCAGGCCAGCCAGAGATCAAGTTCACACATAGGTCGGAAGAATTGAACGTCTTGAACGAAAGATTATTGTGTACAAGTTTGAAAGAAATCCATCAAGTTAACAGAAATTACCAGTATAATTTATTTGAGAACCTGACCTTTAATATGCGTAATTCAATGTCTTGTTAAAATGGTTATTGTGTCCAAATATGAAAGAAATCCATTCATTAATGAGGATAAAATATATATAAAGATATCGAATGTAACAGAATTTCATATTTATGACCATTTATGACATCTCCCTCGGTCTATGTGCCCCTAATACCATACACATTGGAAACATATGGTGTATTAATAACAAATGAAAAATCAAAACTTCATTTTACCCGCTGTGATTAACTTATCGAAACTTTGCAAGTATTCCCTTCTTAACATGTCCTGTTGTTCTGCCAAACAAAGTAAAATCAAAGTGCTGTAAGCACTGATGGGGGCGCATTATGTTGCATACAAAATTTCGAGATTTGTAGAGCAATCTACTTCAGGTGTTCCAAGCTGATATAATTCCTACTTCCACAGAAAAAGTGACCATTTTGTATACAATATAAAAGTATTACCTCCAAACTGTTGTCAAAATTGAAAATCATGTACCATGAACATACTAACAAAACCAGGCAAAATGCATATTAAAACTCTCCATGAACAAGAATAATTTTGGTAAACACCAATTGGAAAATGTTTCATGCCAAACATCTAAGCTCTAGCTCTTTTGTTTTTTAAAAGAAGACTTTTTAGTTTTGACTAGATATACATATAAGAAAAATTAATGACGCCCATGACTGAACCAGTTTTGACCCCAGGGCTTTTATTTTAACAAACTTGGTAGACACTTACTAAAAGATGTTTCATGCCAAATATCACAAACTGGGAATGATAAAATCTTGTTAATGTTGACATATTATCAAATGACATCAGAGTATCCTTACCCTGTACAAAAACGATCCTTTTCCTTGCATCATCTCACATTGGGTGTCAGGATTGTAAACTTGACCTCCAAGGTCATTTGCATAAGGGTCAATGTCATCATTGCCTGTCGCTGTTCTTGCAGTCAAACAGTTTTTAGAGCTTAAGTATACAACAAATGAATACATATATACTTGTAAATGCAATATTTTAAATATTGATTAAAAAACAGACATATTTTCATTTTCCGTTTCTTTCTCACTGCCGAGAAAACATGTTGTTCGTATTTAACTGGTGTCCTGTCGGACTACTTTCTTTTTAATTCAGCCAATACACAAAATTTATGGGGAAGTATTTCAAATTGTAAGGTCAAAACTAGAAATGTATCCATAGGACACATTGCCCCCAAACTCTACTGCTTTGTCAATCTACTGACTATAGGTCAAATATTGTTTGGGCTACACGCGACGTAAGTTAGAAACTGAAAATCTTTTACTAAGTCAAAAGCAAAAACTCTACAAACACTGAATAAATTCACAAGCAAACCTCAAGGTGCATAACTACGCATGGTGACCGACTTTTTTTTTGAAAACTTTCAAGACTACTGATCAAATACCATTTGAGATATGTATGAACAAGTTGAAAATTCATTTTTTTTTTCTATTTCAAGAGTAATAACTTTATAAATACTGAATAAATCTACAACCAAAGACTTCAGACAACATCATATGATTTTAAGGGAAAATTTTGAGTAACGGGGAAATTTTTCACTAAAGATTCTTTAAGAATACGACCTGAGGTGCATAACTTCAAATGCTGACCAGGTTCATGACTCTAGGTCAAATATTTGAGCTACGCGTGACACAAATTGAAAATTGCAATTTTTTTGACTAAGTTAAGGGAAATAACTCTACAAATACTAAATAACTCTACAGGCAAATCCCCTAAGTGCACATCTACACATGCTGACTAAAATTCCTGTCAAGTTTCATGACCCTATGTCAAACACTTTTAAGCTGCGCACGACACAAATTGAAAATTTTTACTAAGTCAAGAGCATTTACTCTGACAAAACAGAATAAATCCACAAGCGAAACACCAGATGCACAACTTTACATAATGAGGAACATTCCTGTAAAAGTTTCATGTTCCTAGGTCAAATATTTTCCGAGCTACGTGCGACACAACTTGAAAATTGCATTTTTATAACTAAAAAAATACTTAATAAATCCATACGCAAACACTCAGGTGCACACAACTACACATGCTTAATAATATTCTGTAAAGTTTCATGACTCTAGGTCAAATACCTTTTGAGCTACGTGCGAAACAACATAATAACGAAAGGAAGTACGTCCGCACGAACTCAAGTGACATTATGGGATGGATATCCATGTTAATTCCGTACAGACTTGCTATTGTGGGGAAAAGGGTTGCCTATGGGATGCAAATACGTTGCTTGTGAGGTTTTATAGATCAAACAAGATCCAATAAAAACTAGAACTATCACTAAATGTGATTAATACCCCCACAAGACTGCTTCGGAAATGAGGATGTTACTAGTAACAGAATACCTTGTAAAAGAATAGAAATATAGAGTTATGGTTGTTGGCAATTAAAGATAGTTGTGGTTCTTGTATGTTGCATTTCCTTTCAATGTGGTTGGCCATTGAAGAAGTTTAATTGAATTACTCTGTAATAAGTCCAGAAAGACAAAGAAAAGGAACAAAGGGCAAAATCTCTATAAAAACTGAAGATAGAGTTATAGTTCTTGTGCACTGCACTTCCTCTTATTGTGCTTGAACATTGTATGAAGTTGTTTTGAATTCCAACCAGTACGTTTTAAGTTATGCTCAGGACAAGGAAAAGTATCGAAGGGCAGTAACTCTGTATTTTGTCAAAATGGAGTTATGGCTCTTGTGCACTGTACTTCCTTTTAATGTCCTTGACGACTGTATGAAGTTGTACTGAATTCCAAACAGTAGTTTTCAAGTTATGCTCTGGACAATGAAAAGTAACAAAGGGCAATAACTCTGTAATTAGTCAAGATGGAGTTATGGTTCTTGTGCACTGCACTTCCTCTCAATGTGCTTGACCATTGTATGAAGTTATATTGAATTCCAACCATTTGTCTTCAAGTTATGCTCTGGACAAAAAAGCAATGGAAAAGTAACAAAGGGCAATAACTCTGTAATTAGTCAAGATGGAGTTATGGTTCTTGTGCACTGCACTTCCCCTTATTGTGCTTGACCATTGTATGAAGTTGTTTTGAATTCCAACCAGTAGTTTTCAAGTCATGCTCTGGACAAGGAAAATTAACAAAGGGCAGTAACTCTGTAATTAGTCAAGATGGAGTTATGGTTCTTGTGCACTGCACTTCCTCTCAATGTGCTTGACCATTGTATGAAGTTATATTGAATTCCAACCATTAGTCTTCAAGTTATGCTCCGGACAAAAAAGCAATGGAAAAGTAACAAAGGGCAATAACTCTGTAATTAGTCAAGATGGAGTTATGGTTCTTGTGCACTGCACTTCCCCTTTTTGTGTTTGACAATTGAATGAAGTTGTTTTGAATTCCAACCAGTACTTTTCAAGTTATGCCCCGGACAAGGAAAAGTAACAAAGGGCAATAACTCTGTAATTAATCAAGATGGAGTTATGGTTCTTGTGCACTGCACTTCCTCTCAATGTGCTTGACCATTGTATGTAGTTATATTGAATTCCAACTATTAGTCTTCAAGTTATGGTCCGGACAAAAAAAAGCAATGGAAAAGTAACAAAGGGCAATAACTCTGTAATTACTTTAAATAGAGTTATGGTTCTTGTGCACTGCACTTCCCCTTATTGTGTTTGACAATTGTGTGAAATTGTTTTGAATTCCAACCAGTAGTTTTCAAGTTATGCCCCGGACAAGGAAAAGTAACAAAGGGCAATAACTCTGTAATTAGTCAAGATAGAGTTATGGTTCTTGTGCACTGCACTTCCTCTCAATGTGATTGACCATTGTATGTAGTTATATTGATTTCCAACCATTAGTCTTCAAGTTATGCTCCGGACAAGGTAAATGCAACGGACAAAAAAAAAAGCAATGGAAAAGCAACAAAGGGCAATAACTCTGTAATTACTTTAGATAGAGTTATGGTTCTTGTGCACTGCACTTCCCCTTATTGTGTTTGACAATTGTGTGAAGTTGTTTTGAATTCCAACCAGTAGTTTTCAAGTTATGCCCCGGACAAGGAAAAGTAACAAAGGGCAATAACTCTGTAATTAATCAAGATAGAGTTATGGTTCTTGTGCACTGCACTTCCTCTCAATGTGCTTGACCATTGTGTGTAGTTATATTGAATTCCAAGCATTAGTCTTAAAGTTATGCTCCGGACAAGGAAAATGCAACGGACGTCTGGACCGACCGACCGACCGACCGACCGACCGACCAACCGACCGACCGACCGACCGACCACCGGGTGACTCCTATATACCCCCCCAAACTTCGTTTTTGGGGGTATAACAAGAGCACCGCTCAGCGGAGCATTATATGCCCGAAAGTATGTTTTTTTAGTAAGGATGAAGCATTTGTAAGACACGGGAATTAAATAAAATATTACCTCCTTCAAATAGCAATCCTCCAATAAAGTTTGAATATTGTGGGCCATATGGAACTTAAGTTATGCTCCAGAAACTTTTTTCAGTTTTAAGGTAATAGTGACCTTGACATTTGACTTTGTGACCCAAAAATCAATAGGGGTCTTCTACCCAATATGGACAATCGTCATATGAAGTTTGAACATTGTGGGCCAAATGGAACTTCAGTTATTTTCAGTTTTAAAGTAAAAGTGACCTTGACCTTTGACCTTGTGACCAAAAAACCAATAGGGGTTTTCTTCCCAATATGGACAATCATCCTATGAAGTTTGAGCACTGTGGGCCAAATGGAACTTTAGATATGTTCCGGAAACTGTTTTCAGTTTTTAGGTAATAGTGACCTTGACCTTTGACCTTATGACCCCCCAAAAAATATAAGTTTTCTGCCTAATATGAACAATCAATCTATGAAGTTTTAACACTTTCGGGCATATAAAAAACCCAAATATCAACTCAGAAAGAATGTCCGGATTGAAGGGACAGACTGACAAAGGTAAATCTAAATGCCCTTTATGGTGGGGGCACAAAAAAGATAAAAAAAACAACAACATTTATTACATATTATAATAAATCTGATGATTATATTCTGATAAACCACTAGTGAAATTTATAAAATATAATTTTCACTGTAGCCGAACTATATCTGAATGCGGATGAAAGAAATATCATATCTAAATGGAATAACAGGCAAAAATAAATGCCGTCATACATATTTTTATTTCAAGAAAGGAAAGTCGATGTCATCATACATCATGTTAAAAATGTAACAAAATTAGAGAAATAAATCGGAACTATATTTCAAATTTGAAGATGTGACGTTATGATGTGATGACGTCAGAGAGGAGAATACACGACGTTACGCGGCAAAATCTGTAAAAATTGCTTAAAATCACTAAAAAAACATGAAATAAAAAGAAAATTTTTTTGTTTTACATATAAGATTGAAAAATATTTCATTCTTGAACACCCCAGCTATTATATTTTCACTCGTGGCTACGCCACTTGTGAAAATATTGCATCTGGTGTTCACTCAGTGAAATATATAGAGGATATTCAAGTTTTTTCTATAAATACATGATTTATTTTCATCGAGTGGTATGAAAATAAATATTTCATGAGTGGCGGTAGCCACGAGTGAAATATGGTAATTTTCATGCCACAAGATGAAAATAAATCGTGTATTTATAGAAAAAACTTGAATTTTCTGTTTATTATATACATTTTTCTCTTTTTTGACATTAAAATTTGAAAGACTTTCCCTTAAATTTTGTGTATTGGCAGAATTTAAAAGAAAGTAGTCCGGCAAGACACCAGTGAAAATACGGAAAATATGTTTCACTGCAGTGAAAAATAAATTTTTACAGTGAAAATACGGAAAATGAAAATATGCATTTTATTTCATCAATATTTCTCAATATTTCATTTATAAGTATATAATAAATTTTAATCTTACATGCAAAACGAACAAATATCCTCTATTTATAACATGCTTTTCGGTAGTTTATAGAATATATAAATGA